TATGAATTATGTTTGTTGACTATGGAAGAGATGCACGGAAGTTTTTTTGTAACCACTGATACACTTTCTAGAGCATGTAAAAAAGGATGTTGTGTTTGTTTTAAATTAAAAATAAAAAATTTATTTAAAAAAAAGAACAAAGAAAAGTTCTGTTATCAATGCAGTGATCAGATAAAGAAGCTTGAGCCCAGGAAAAAAGGGGGTTTATGAAAATGGCTCATATAGCTCCCATCATTTACCTGAAGGTAAAAGAGGGAGGAAATGGAGCAAATTCAAAACTGGTAACATTCGGCTAGCATAGTTGTTCTAATAAAAAGTAGATCTACATGGTGTCTGTTTCTTAGTCTAGACTACCATATACGACTTAGAGCCATTATTAAATAAGGAGTCTGGTTTAGAAGACTGCCTGTGAATTCCCACAAAAGTTGGGAAGCAGAGGTGGGTTGCTCCCGGTTTGGATCTGTTCGGGTAGTGGTAATTGGACATGGGTCGCCAAACTGGTAGTGATGGTTGGCTGGCCATGCCCCCAAACTGACTCACTCTGAAGCTCGCCCTGCCTTGTCTTCACCATGTGCATCCATACAATTGCCTCCTAGTGCCTATGCACAGGTAAGCAGCATGGGCTGCTCAGGGAGCCCCAAGGCTTTGCAACCACCGCCTCCTAATTGGGATTGAGCCTCCCTGCCTCCTCGATGCAAGGACACAGGATGCGGCAGTTTCGTTTGCTGCCTGTGAGTTCAGGGGGGAGGGGGGCAGGATCTGCCAGCTGCCTCTAATCTGCAGTTTACTCATTGGCAAGTTTACTCAAGAGCAGGGTGCTTGGCAGCTGGCAGATTGCTGGCTTGCTTGCTCAGCTGCTGACCCCCAAAGCTCATAGGCAGCGAACAAAACCACACACTCTTCAGACCCTCCAGTTCTCCTGTGTTCAGTTCAGTGCAGCTCAGGTTGCTGCTTTCTTTGCCTTTAAAAAAAGTTTTACAGCATATTTTATTTCCTATCTCCAGTGTGAAACATAAATTTGCCAAGGCACACCCACAAGATAAGCCACGCCCACAGAACTGATAGTAAAATTTTTGAAACCCACCCTTGCTGGGAAGGCACCAGGAGACTTTGGAAGGCTGCTTTGAAACTCTGCCAAGAATTTTGTTTTCCCAAGAAACAGAGTAGAAAGATGGTCAGCAGATTGTAGAGTGCATACTTACAGACTAAAACAATGCGAGGCTGTGATGATCCACTGATTTGTGACAAGAGAACCGCCACAGTGATGATGTCCATTCAGCTTGATGCTCACTTGCCAAGGCCACTCTCCATCCCGGGAATCTGTACCCCCTACAATCCGGTTCAGATAGCCCTGTTTTCCACAAACTGAGCAAAAAAAGGGAAAGATTTACTGTTCCTGCAGAATTACATGGTATTTCCTAGTTATCAGGATTTTAGATTTTTGCTCTTCTATCATCTTGGAATTGTGAAAAAATCTAAAATTTAAAAAGTATGAATCTATAAATTCTTAAGTGTTTTGCTGCCCTGTGGCCAACCTGACCATAAGCCCCATTTCTCCTTACTCCATATTTCCATTCTTTTTTCTGCTTTAATTTTTACTTCCTCTTTAGACCGTCTCCTCTAACTACGTTTAGACAAAGACCTTTATTCCTAGCCTGTTTTTTATTTGTCCACCCGTCCACTTATTCTTCGTATTCCACATTGCCAATCCAGGAACTAGGCTTCCTCTTCCAATCTTGTTCCTTATCCAGCCTCCTTCACATTTCTTAAAGAATCCTTTAGGTACCTCCAACTTTTTAATGCATTTTTGGAAATTTCTTCATGTACCTCTTAAGCCTGGTGATGACCGACTGGGGTGCATGTGAAACCCATGACTAACAACTTTCCATAAATGACTTGGATGCTAGTAAAGGCAATATTCAATATTTTTTCAGTTTTAACTGAAGTACAGCACTGCCATGATTTCTATCATATAGTTTGTAGAGTAGTATAAATGGCTACTCTTCACAGAACATTATATTTGTTCACATTACCTATATTTCAGTATTTAGTAGGATAATCTTTCTAATCAATAGCATGCTAACAAGTCAATATGCAAGCAGATATAACTGATGCTCACCTCTGGTGGCATAGCTTGGTTCAACATCTAAAAAGAAAGAGATATATAAAATCATGAGAGTTACAGCTTAGATTGCTATTTTAATACAATAGAAGTAATTTGGAAACTGCCGTCTAAGTGTCACTTATATTTAACCTACTTATATTATTTATTTCATTTATTTATCACATTTATCTAACTGACCATGTCACAAATGTAATTTTGGATGATGTACAACTAAAACAAAAAAGCAGAGTTTTAAAAACATTAAAAACTCATTAAAACATAAATATAAACAGCACCACGGGACAACCATGGGACATCCTCAAACCCCCATAACTTTTAAACTGTCTACTGTCGACCTCACCCCATTCCTAAGAGGTTAGTAGGGGCATGCATCAGCATACCAACATTACTGTCCTACTATCCCCATTTATTTGTACCCATTTCTTGCGTTCTTATTCATGTTTATTTTTATTCCTGTTATCTTGTACATGAGAATAGTAGTAAATAAATAGTATAAATTCAAGATATTCAATATATTTCACAAAGTTCCTATTTCTATGGGTCACCCATCCCTGTGGGTCATCAAAACCAGGTTTTAAGAGATTTCCAGAAAGTCAATGGGTCAGGGTCAATTTTACCAGGGGTTGGGGGAGGGGGAATTCAAAGGGTGAGTGCAATGGCAGAAAAGGCTTGCCTTATGGGTCCCATCAAATGAAACTTCATAACATAAAGAACCCCTAATATTCCCATTCAGCTGGAATTGATGCAGAGATTTAAAGGTCAAAATCACTATCTTGAATTGAACCCAGAAGCACACTAGCAACTGATGCTGGCCATGGAACAGAAATTTAATGTCCACCGAGGAGCACGTATAACTGGTCACACAGCATGAATAACTGAGAGTAAAGGTAGTCCTTGACTTATGACCATAATTGAGCCCAGAATTACTATTGTAAATCTTGCTGCTCATCATCATTTTTTGCTTGTTAAGCAAATTCCATGATCATTAAATGGATCCATTGTCCGCAAACAGGATTTTTGCTGGAAACTGGAAATAAACACCAGTTTACAGCAAAAAATGTTGTAAATCACGAACGGTCATTAATGTGGGTTGATTATTAAGTGCCCCAAATGCAATCATGTGATCACAGGAGAGGTCTAGCCATTGGAACTTTGAATCCAAATCACAAGTAGCCCTGGAGAAGTCTATCGTAACTTTGATTGGTTGCTAAGTGATCAGTTATAAGTCAAGGATTATCTCTAGCTCAGTGGTTCTTAACCTTCCTAATGCTGCGACCCTTTAATACAGTTCCTCATGTTGTGGTGACCCCCCGAACAATAAAATTATTTTATGTTTTCTGTATTATTTTTGAAAATGGGTGTTTTTCGATGGTCTTAGACAACCCCTGTGAAAGGATCGGTCAACCCCCACAGGTTGAGAACTGCTGCTCTAGAGCCTACAGGAACCGGCACAACTGGTGACCAACACAAAGTTGTGCAAAAGCCCTCCAAGCTATCCCGGACACATGCTCTTTAAGCAAAAATTGTTAGTCCAGAAATATCCCCAGATTGCTCATAAAGTCTGTTTGGGGATGTGTAAATCCATCCAGTTAAAAATATGGCAAACTCTCAGATCTGGAAGGCTCCCAAACACATGTTATTTAGTCTTGCCAGGGTTGAGCTGACAACCATTGCTGTTCTCCAGCCAGGCTCTCATAGTCTTCAGGTATTAAGAGAGGGTATCGCAGCATTGGTTAGTTCTCCAGGGGCAGAGATGTATAATTAGATATTATCAGCATACTTCATTCTACATTGATGGATGCTTTCACACAGAAGCTTAAATCAGAGCTACCAGGAAGTTTGGATTTTAGATGGGTCATATGTGGTTTTGTCAATGACAATGAAAATAAAATAGTTCAGAACAATAAGGTCAACAAATGTTGACACAAATTCATTAACTGAGAGCCAGGCTGACTCACGGGGTGAAACACCTTCTTTTTAAAGTTATCACTTTTTGGACAGCAAACAGTAGAACATTGACATACCTGGCAAACCTAACCCAACAGACAACATTACCCAGTAATACCTCATTTGTGCCCCAAGCCTGTCCTTGCATGATCCAAAATCTGCTCCTCCCAGACAAAGTTTCTTTCTACCAGTTTCAAAGTTTCTATAAGAGGAAGATCAACAATTCTCAAATTGTTGAGCTTGCTCTTATAATGGTGGTGCTGTTTGATGGCTATCTCCTAAATTAGGCTCCCTCCTTATTTAGTCATGATGGTGACAGTAGGAAGCTTTGAGTTCCCCTAATTGCCCTTAAAAGTTTGGCCTGGAATTCCTGAAGTCAATTTTAATTAGTGTTGACTATGACAATTAAAAGAAGGATTAGAACATGCCCAAAGAGTAATTGTAAGTCCAACACGACCATTTCATTAAGTACAAAAGTAACTGTAATGAAATAAAATTTAGCTGTTGTGCTGCTCATCTCAATTACCCAAGCTTGCCAGCCAAATTTCCCCATCATTTCCCCAAAACAGAGAAAAGAAATTGTACACCTTGTTTTTAAATATGTTTCATATTACTGCCATTGAAAATTTAGTAAATCCTTTCAGAAGCTTAGTACTGCATTTTGCCAGGGGGAGGAGAGAGGGAAAGAAAAACCAGCCTCTTGGGAAAAAAAAGCATCTTTCGAATGAAAGAAAAGGAGAGAAGAAGATTGTGCCCTGGTGGAATTTTGGCATTTAATCTAGGATATTGCATATTGCTGTGTCTGTCCCATCTCTCATTAATGAAAATCATTTGTTTGTGCAGGAAGTCCATCAATACTTACTTGTTATCATTTGCAGGAGCACCAGTAGTAACAATCTTCTCTGTAGCCCTTGCTGGTGGTGGGCCATAACACCACTGCTGATTTCTTTGTTTCCTTCCTTTGTTTTCCTCATACACAAAAAAGATGTGGTACTCTTACAAAATAAGAAGATTAATTTAAGCTATTCAGACTCTGGATGCTTATATATACGCACGCACACACATACACACACCCCAGAAGGGCGTATTCATCCGAGGAATCCTGCCAGTTCTTGGTATTTCCCTGCTGGGATAGTTACGAAACCTGCTGAGTAAATGTACCTTGCTATTGCTTCCTTCCTTTCAAGCTACCCATTTCCAGGTGTATTGTTCCATCAAGTCAGTACAACTACTGGGACTTTTTATGTGCCAATCACCTTCCATATGACCCATAACATGACCCTTCTTAAGCTCAAATCTGATCAATATACAGTGTAATCTATATGTGTATGTTTCCCCCCTCCTGCAGCTAAGAGTTCCTCTATTTTTTATTTATTTTTTGGCTTTTACAGGATAACTAACCAGTCAGTTAATTATCAACTTCACCAGTCATGGTTATGGTTATGGTTATGGTTATGGTTATGGTTAAGTTTATTTATAGGCNTTATAGAGAGTGATAAGAAGGGAAGCATACAGATGTCCCTTTGAAGTTTATCTCTAACCAGAGAAATTCCCCTCCCCCTGGAAACAGGCAATTGATCATAAGCTGGACTCTTATGGGCTCTCATCATTATTCTTGATGTCCCTAGGCTTTGATCAAGCAAAGCAATTAATAGAATGAAGGACATGGAGTTCCAAGAAGAACTAAATAGGTTGCCTCTCCACAGTAGGGACAGAATCAAATAGGGTGTGAATCAGCAAGATATCTAAATGACCTGATCTTCCCAAAACAAAGAATAGCTTTCTTCAGAGCCAAATTTAACATTCTTCCTTCAGCACTCCTCCAGGGCAAGTATAAGAGAACACCTATAGCAGAATGGGTTTGTATATGTGATAAAAGAGAAGTGGAAGATAATTTACATGTTCTATTACACTGCGAGCTATACAGAGCTTGTAAGTCTGCACATATCCTCGCCTTATTAGAGAGATTGCCAGGAAGGTCAGACAATTTTTATCTAGCCTTTTTCCTCCAGGACATTAACCTGGTTATCACGTACGCAGTGGCAAAATTCTGTGCTGCTGCAATATCCATAAGAAAAAAATTGGCTACAGAAGTATAGTTGTCATCTTGTACCAATTATCTGGACATTTCTCTAACAATTTTTGGACCATTGTATTTATTCCTATACTTAACAGTGTTGCACCCAGGTAAACCAGGGAGTGACCTGAACAATCTGAGAACACGTATGTTATTTCCCACTTTTAACATCAATACTTTTAAATTATATCTTAATGTCAGTATTTTTTAACATAGTGTAAAAACTAATGTATATTGCTGGTCTTTGACCATAATAAAGATTTACTTACTTACTTACTTACTTACTTACTTACTTACTTACTTACTTACCAGAGAAAAGTGAAAACAAAACGTTTTTGTGAATCTATGCTTAATTTTATTAACCTTTCAAGCTAGAGCAGCTGTGTTTGTTAGCTGGAAATAATGGCACAATTTCAAAAGCAAACAGAAATTTTAAGTTTGCAAAAGATATTTTCAGAAATTATCAAATACATATGAGAGGATAGAGAAGAAGCTGGAAGACTTAGAGCATATAATAGCAACATATGATGAAGTTGAGGATGNGTGACGAGCCGAAGGACAGATGATGGAAGCAGTTAGCTTCCTCCCATAATTGGGGCTTACCAGGGGTTGTAAAAATCATATATATATATATATATGGCTGTGTGTTTGTATGTGTATATGTTACAGCGTAACTCTGGAATGCTTCAAGCAATTTCAACCAAACTTGGTACACAGATGACTTACTCTCTGGAAACAAATACTATGGGGGTAAGACACCCCTAACACCCCTCGGAGTGTGTTCTGTTACGATACAGCCTGTTGTGCCATAAAATGGCTTCTACTGTACAGTGCAGTGGAGTTGCCATGGTAACAGCTTTACAGTACTCCACAATGGGTTCCCTCTGGTAAGGTGGAAAATCCAACATTAGAAATTATGTTTGATGCGGACATTTCCCCCCTATAAATAAATACCCAGGTAATGTGGGTTATCAGCTAGTATTAAATATATTGGTAGTTGAAGTTCTGTAGGTTCACTTGTCTTTCCACACCTACCTTTGCTTAGAATGTTCCCCCAGCCAGTGACCCAACACTTCTGTCCTGGGGGGAAGTTGACGTTGGCATTGGGGACACAGATGGGGCTGATCTGTTGGCTGAGGTGCAGTCGCTGCTCCAGTTGGACGAGGGCAATGTCTCCAATCCTCGAATCTCCTTCATAGCTGGGATTGAGAATAATACGCTTCACAGAGGCTATGATTGACTGAGGCCCTGGGTCCGAAAGCTTCAGTGCTCCAACTAGTACAGTAAAATTAGAAGGATTTTTGATCCTGAGAGGCACAAAGCAAGAAAAAAGGACTATGTATGACAAATGGAATTATTTTTGAAGCAAAACATGATGATATGTGAGATCATGAGATGATGGATCACTGAACCAAAGTCCAAGAGATTCATTGTTTTTTAATCTTTCTCTGTCTCTCTCTGTATCTGTCTCTGTCTCTCTGTCTTTCTCTCTCTCTTTCTCTGTCTCTCTCTGTCTCTCTGTCTCTCCCCCTCTCTCTCTCAAACACACGGCTTACTCTTTCTGACTCAGTTGGCTGATGCTTTCTCTATATCTGCCAATTCTGCAGCTTTGACCAGAATGAATGAACAATAGCTAGAAAAGGAAGAAAAACTGAACATACCATTGGGAGAGAAGGGCATGTATTGGGAAACACAAGATACATACACTCTGCTAGTGTAGCACGGAGAATGGCTGAGGCAGAGGGATGTATCAAATGGGGAACTAGTCTATACTGGCACAAGAGGACAATCTCTCTCTCTCTCTCACCCCTCTGTGTGTGTGTGTGCGTGCCTGTGTGCGTAATGCACACATAAACATATACAGATATATCAAGATAGAATTACATTTACATGTTTAAAAATGAACATATATGAAAATACATGCAACCATCAAAACAAAAATACTGTTCTTGCATGAAGTATACATTTAATAACCTTCCAAATATCCTGAAGAAAGTTTCTACTATTTATCAACAGGATTTATGCTTTTATAATTAATATCTTTTCTTAATTTTTAGGACATCCTAGTTGTATGGAAAAAATAAAAAGGAACAACAAAATCAGTGGGGAAAATGAAAATGTTCTTTGAAAGATAAGCAAAAGATTGCAAAAATAAGAAGTAAAAGTTTTTATTGAGTTGTTTCTTCAACTCTGAAGGCTAAATTAGTCATGATAAAATTTTCAGTTTCATCTCAAACTGATTCAAATGCAAGTTGAAATCAAGTCATTTAATTTTGCAAGTTCACCATGTGGCTGAATTTTTCTGGGCTTAGAAGCCAGACAGGATGAGGGTTGATTAATGGTTCTTGGATAGAAGACTATATGAAATCTCAGATTATTCTGAGAAGTTAAAAAAAGTCAGGAGACAACAATGGCTAACCACTTATTTAGAGTTTCCTAAACCTGCAGGAAATAAGTTCAGTTCGCGGGCATTTTTATCTTTATAGTTAATATTATTGCTNAAGGAGAACTAAGATGGAGGCATGGCCTCCATCTCTGGCTCTCCAGAGATCATCGGTCAATGCGACCAAAGCGGTTTCTGTGCTGTAACCAGGTCATCTTAGCTTGTCCAATCTTCTTTTTATTCCAAAGCTTTCATGGCTCTAGTATTACCATTAGAGTAGAATTCAAGTTATTTGAAAAATAGCTGAGATAGGTTCTGGATGATCATTTATTATAAGCTGCTTTCAATATGTGGAATAAATGATGGGACAAGTGGTTTAAAAACAAAATAGTGATTACTTGTCTGCAGTTTTCAACTCTGCTAATCAATACCATATCATCTATGGTTATCTACATCACTTGAGCTTTAGTGAATAAAGAACCTTTTCAATCTCAGGCCCCGAGGACGGGATGATTGCTTACCTAATTTAATGTCTTTTAGTAAATTAATTCAAAGATTTGATCTGAATATGTGAATTAGGATGATTCTCTAAACCAAATAAATGATCTGAACAGGATTTTGCCTTGTTTACATACCCCTAGTATCATCTGTATGGTTTACTCAGCTTTCAATCCTTTTGAGGTGGGTAAAATGAGGACCCAAATTGTTGGGGGCAATATGCTGACTGTAAACTGGTTAGCACTGTAAAGCTGTATATAAGTCTGCATTAAAAAAACCTAGGAATCTTTGTTAAAGGAAATCAGCCTAGAAAAGCTCTTGAAGACAATAGGCTGAAGGCTGAATATAGAAAATAAACACATCAAAACTAATATCTTAATTGGAAGAATAAGCCAATGCATGGTCAATACTTGAACAATGTAGAAGGAAAAAATGATAAATCCTACATGGAGTGTTAAAGGAAGAAACTGAAGGCTTTATTGTCTCAAAAACAAAAGCCTTGCCAACTGACTGCATGAAGGTGAACTTGTAGCAAACAATTGCAAACGTCACTTTTGAAGTGAAAGGAATGATGAGTGGCTGCAACAAAATTTCTTAAACTAACTATAAGCAGCATCATGATCAAGTTGCCAAAAGTATTTGTTGGAGACAAATGTAGGAAAACCTACTGGGAGGATAGTTTAGTTGAGAAGGTTTTGGAAAATGAGCAGGTTAAGGATTTGTGGGACTAAGGTATAGCCAGCCATCTTGTTTATAACATGCCTGATGTAACAGTAATTATAAAGAAGGCTGTCTACTTCACTAATGTTGCTATTCTGCGTAATGGTAGGCCTAAGGAAAAACAATTGGAAAACAAACTACAAAATACTGGGACTTTCAGAGAGAAATTTCACTGTGGTTTGTGATCATCCACCATTTCTTAATATTAATCAGTAGAATGACTTGCCTCCAGAAGTTGTGGGCACTCCAACTCTGCATGTTTTAAAGAAGAGATTGGACAACCACTTGACTGAAATGGAGTAGTGTTTCCTGCTTGAGCAGGGGGCTGGACTGGAAGGCCTTTAAGGTCTCTTCCAGCTTGGTTATTCTGTTCTGTTAAATTAAATACCTGTAGAAAAAAATATATGTGATGATACTATCCTGTTGGGAGCTCTTGGAGCAATAGTAAAGGACTCTCTTGATTCTGGAAATATTGAATTTATCAGACCAGAATGCCCAATTTCTTCTTTTTTTTTTAATTGCCTGGTTGTAACTGCCTATATTTTTAAACACTGCCATAATAATTTTTAGATCCTTGGTTAGGATTTGAATTATTAAGTTTCCACCAGTATCAGACTGAGAATCTAAAAGTAGATTACTCATACATTGATGGTCATACTATCAGGAGTCATCAGGATGAAGCCTACAAGTATTTGTTCATTTTACAGTTGGCTAACATCAAGCAAGGATAAGTTAAAATATGATTATTAAAGAAATATTCCCACCCAAAAAGTGGGAAAATTGCTGAAGACAAAATTAAACAGTGGAAAACAAGAAAACGTATGGCTGTTTACTACATAGACTATACTTGCCCCATAGAAATGGAGGTAGAGGCTCACGTCAAGTCAAACAAACTGTCAAAGAAGGGATTAGCTGATTACATAAAAGGCAGTTAAGAACAAACATTGATGCTGGTTAAAAAATAGAATTCAATGAATGTACAGGAAAAAAAAACACAAATATAAAAATGTGATAAAAATACAAATAAAATGCTGGTAAGGAAAACATTACATGTTCAATTTTTTATAAAAGATTGGGGGGGAAATGAATATAGACAAAACTTGACAATACTTACAAATGGAACGTTAAGAAAGAAATGGAAGACTTGATTTTGGCTGCTCAAGAGCAAGCTATTCGAACTAATGGAATCAAGGCTGGAATAGAAAAATCATCAAATGATTCAAAGTGCAGTCTATGCAAAGAAACAAAGAAACAGTATATCATATACTTACCTAATGCAAAAAAGATAATACAAATTATCTTTTTGCCAAAATAATTCAGTAGAATATCTATAAACATTATTATGTGACAATGATGAAAAATTGGTAGGAACATATACTGTGTTTCCCCAAAAATAAGACAGGGTTTTATTTTCTTTTGAAATAAGAACTTGACCTTATTTTCGCAGAGATCTTATTATTTTTGAGGTGCAGGAGTAGGTGAGCATGTCACCTCATGACTGCTGCTATATTGCAATATTTTTGGGGAGGGCTTATTTTTGGAGGAGGGCTTATGTTAGCACATGCACTCAAAAGCCTGATTGGGCTTATTATCCAGGGAGGTCTTATTTTCAGGGAAACAGTAGTTGAAAAACTAGATGAAAATGAGCGGATTAAAATATGGTGGATTTTCAAATATAAACCAATAAAATCTTTGCATATATTATATTTAACTATGGCTGAAAAGAAAATGTGTGGATGATTGATGTGATAATGCCAAGAGATAATACAATAGAAGATAAAGAGAGAAGTTCAGAAAATATCAAGATCTGAAAATTCAAGCTGAAAGATTATGGCAAAAACCTGCAATGGTAGTACCACTGGTTAATGACACACCTCCCCCAAATATTCAATAGTACTTAGAAAATCTGCTCATTGACAACATTTCCTTCTGTTAGTTACAAAAGGCCATACTGCTTGGATCTGCACATGAAGGCCCACATGAGCTAAAGAACTGGCAATTGTAATTTCTTATTGTTTTGAATATAATATAATAAGAATAAAAATGCCAAATGCAGTGAACAGATGTCAGGCTGACTGTATGATAAACTGTTATAACAACAACAACAACAACAACAACAACAACAACAACAGCCTGAATGATTACATTCAGAAAAGTGAAGAACCAATGATTGAGGAAGTAAATAAAGGAGGCCTTTTAAAGACAACTAAGTCAAA